GTAACGATATTTTACTTCATGCAGTACCTCCGATAAAATAACGCGTATCCAATTATCAAGGAATCCATCATTTATACCTTGCAATACATATTAGTCAACTTCGAACTCGATTAATCCTCTTGATATAATGAAATGTAAGAACTTCGTTAAATTATTCGATGCAACAAAGTTTTACAAAATGAAGTGTGGATTTTGTATGTTGAGAGTTGATCGTTCCCGTACAATGTGATGGCAGAATGAATTGTTGTCTTTTTTCTTACGTAATAATTTGACCAACTTAAATAATTTATATATGGCTGAAATAAATTAATTAACTGGGGTCCCCGCCAATCGATTAGTCATGTATGGTATGAATCATCATCGGAGCTATTCCTTCTGTTCACCTCGCATTTGTTTGACATAATCATAATGTTGTGAAAGTGTAAATATGATTAAACGCATGATATTTTTTTTGTGATTTTACGCCCATTAGAGGATATGATCCCATATTTAAAATACGCGTTCCTTATAACAAAGCAATGATGAAAATCATATCTTGTGAAATCAAATGATGTCTATGCCAATGAAAAAAAAAATATATACTTTTTAAACACAAAGAAAGTTTCAGAACTCATGTTCTAAATTCGTAGATTTACGCGCCGTATTTATCTCTCTCTTTTTTTTCTTATTGTAATCAAAGTACGACATACAAACTAGTTTGCATAAGTGTTTGCATGCGTGTTTTGTTACAGAATTAAATAATAAATATATTATTATTATTATAGAATTACATTTTGCCAGTTTGTAACCGTTAAACCTTTGGATAAGACAACATCAAAGCCGAAAACTGCACAACCTTCACGAATTAGAAACGAATCCCTTAATTCTTATGTGCGCGTATGAAATGTCATGTGACACGTAACGTGTTCTCGCATCACGCCACCTGTGGCCAATGTGTGATCATCGTTTCATTCCAGTCTTCTACAAAAAGCAATTTATTTGAAAAATTCATGTAATTTCATGTTTGAATTCCCTAAATTATCCAATACGCCAAACCTTTTAAAGGATAATTATATCATGAATATAAATAAATCTGAACCATGTGGTAATTGTTTCCTACGGCGGGAATTTACGGGGGGCTATCACGTATTTTAAGTTTTTCTTTGGAAGAAAAAAAAAAAAAAAGAAAAAAAAAAAAGGTTCTCATTTTTACACATTAGAAACATCATTCGATAACTTTCCATCAACACGTTTATTGTTAATTCACGAAACCCTGATTTGGTAGTCTGGATTTTATTGCCAAGCCGCGAATAACTATTTTCGAACTAATGATTTTTTATTCATTCAATTTGATATCCCTAAATGGTTACCTCAATTACTACGATTGTCTCTTTGCAGATGTCTTTGGATTTACATGAATAACACCTATAAATATATTTTTTTTTTTCAACCCTCGCTTATAAAAACCATTTAGATCTCCCCCTTTATTTTATTGGGCTCACACGCTTTTTGATTCTGTTGTTTTTGATTTGATCGGTAGGGCATCTCTCTCTATTTCCGTTCGAGTTCATTTTTAATTATTTTCGTTCGTAATCGTCGCAATTTTGTCCCTCAAAACCAAAAAAAACCAAAAAAAAGAAAAAAAAAAAAAAAAATAATAATAATCTTTTTTTTTTTTTTTTTTTTTTTTTTTACGCTTTTAAATGAATTACCTCGGTATTAAAAATAATGAAAAAACTGTTCGATATGCCTCACCATACATTCAAACCATTTTTTGAATGCCCCGAATCAATTTCTAATACAACGAATTGGCACCCAACCACACTTACCTTCACTCCTCCACCAATTCAACTTCCTTTTCCTCCCCCGATCACTGCTCAAGACATTGTCCTCAAGCGTCCTTCTTCTAAAATTTGTTCAAAGAGTCCTAATGCCTTTTTTATCTATCGTAAAGCGTATTTTGATCAACTCGCTCCTTTGAATCAAAGGTTCAAAATGACGGATGTTTCAAAGTTAGTTAGTTTGTATTGGAAAAATGAACGAAGTGAGGTCAAAGATGCTTATAAAAAAATTGCACAGGAGGTCGAGTGGGAATTAAATGAAAGGAGAAAAAGAGATTTGGTCTATCCGGATATCAATCCGAATCTTAAAATGGCTCGGAGAAGAAGCAAAAATAGCCCGAGTAATAATAATGTTTCAAAAAAAAAGTGTGGAAAGGTGATAACAACAGATAATCAAAATGGAAGTGCAATATTCGAAAGAAATGGATCCGAGATGATAAACCAACCAGGTGGCACATGTTTTGAACTCACTTTTGGTTCAGACATGCAACCTTTAATTCACTCCTATACCGTAGACTTTGAGAATTATTTGGTGTCGAATTGCACTCTTGATGATGTCGTCTCTTCATCATCTGATGAGCCTCTTGTTAACGAGAAACGTAATGATAAAGATCACTTTATGGCTTCAGAAACGATCTTGGATCAGAACGATGTTGATTATTATGTACAAAATAATTCCAACCTGTTTTTAGATGATAATGATAACGTTCTCGATCCGCTACCCGCACAATCTCAAAATGATAAGCCTATTGTCCCTGTTGAAAATGTCGCATTTGATGAGTTCTGCTTTGATGAGAATACCAATTTAAATTGGTATTTGCAGAGCTTTGTTTAAATTATGTTTACTTTATTACTTACTCTCCCCAACTATTGGGCCCAATTCGAAACGATTCCCTTTTTTTTTTTTTTTTTTTTTTTTGGTCTTTATTCACTTATGAACAATCACAGCCTCACCTTTATTGTAAGCTTCTTTTTTTTTTTCACCCGTCAAAATTCCCCTTATTCGACTGTGATTATGAAAGATAAATATTTTTTCTAAAATAATATGATAAAATTGTTACTTGGGCGGAATTTTTTTTTTTGTCTTATTATTGGACAATCTTTTTTTTTTTTTTCTTTCTTCCCACGTATTAAGTGTTTAAATCTTCGTACTTTATCTTTTTTTTTTTTTTAAAAAAAAAGAGAATAAGAAATACCGTTTTATAAGCTACGCAACAAAATCAAGATGTTAAGTATTTTGGGTTACAATTTTTATAACGATAAAAAAAAGGAAAATAATCAAAAAGCGTTTTCTTTCTTTTTTTTTTTTCAAAAAAAAAAAAGAATAAGAATTAACCACACTGACGCGTAAATAAAGTTAAGAAAAATTATAGTAAACTTTTATTGTAATTTACCAAATTTTGAATTTTCCTTTCTTTCTTTTTTTGATGTTTTTCGAGTACAAATACTTTTAAGAACTTAAACTTGCTTATTCCGTCCAAAAATAAATGAAATCTGCAGTAAACAAAAATTCACCATATATCGCTGCGTAAATGTGTATTACGAACTACATTAGTAAAAAAGAGAGAACTTTCTCTACTTTCTCCAAGAAAATCAACGCGTATTTGTTTACAACTCAAAGTGATTTTTTTTTTTTTTGCCCAAAACTTTGTGTATTTCCAAATTTGCATCTTCCCCATAAAAAAAAAAAATTTTTTTTTTTTCCTTGGTAAAGTGAACGAATGAAAATATAGAAAAATAAACTCAAAAGCGGGAAGAGGCTTTCTTTTAAGGTAACATGTTTATGTAAACAGAAATAAGCACATGAAAGCGACAAAAGAGATACAGCGATCGTCGCAAAGATAATCTCCCTGTTCCATTTCTGTAAAGCATGTGGTTAAAGGTAGATGTTAAATAGAATTTAACTATTTTAGTATAAATTTCATCAGTTATCAAGTAATTTTTGATCATAGAAAAATTTCCATAATTGTGTTAGAAATCAAATCCTTGGAATTACTTTATTTGACACAAAATAAATTCAATTCAATTAAATGTGGATGTCAATTTGTTTATCAAAGTAAGCACATAACAGGTTTTTCAATTTAGCCAATTGATGGCGGGAATTATAAAATTGGTAAGTTGGTTTGGTTATGTATGATTATGTACCGCATTTTGCAATTTGCTGATGGTCGAATTACAAATTTGATTAATTTTGACTCACAGCTGGGGAATTTGTTTTTTCTCAATTTTTTATGATGACACGATGCAATCGCGCTTGAAGCTATCTATTGTCGCATGCGAAGGTATCTCTGTTTTAAACAGATAATTTTACACGTCCGAAAACATAAGATCTCGCCTTTAATTCAGATACCTTCTAAATTTGGAATTATTGCGTAGGTTCATCTCTTGATGTTTGTTTTGTTTTGTGATACCATGATTTAATTATATACTTTTATTGGTCTACATTTAATAAATATTGGTTAATGAAATTTTATTTTGATGGTAGATTATTTACACATTTAAAATAATATTTTATATAAATTTACAAAATTACGTAAAAAAAAAAAAAAAAAAACTAATAATAAAAGATAGTATTATTATATAAAAAATTCTATATATTAAAATAAGTGTTGTTCAATTTACATTATTAAAATAATTTCTTTTTTCTACTTTTGAAAATGAGGATTGATTATTTTTTTTTATTTTTGGTGGTGGTGGTGGTGGTGGTGGATTAACTTAATGTATGCATATGGGGTGATCCTTGTTAAATTCATCCAATTGTTCATTCTTTGCGCAAAGTTAACCTAGCTCCGTGTGCCGACTGAAATCTTCATCCGAAATCAAAACACCGTGTGCCAAGCTTTATTGCTTCGTCATACTGCAACCAACTTGCAGTACTTAGGCGTAGGCCTATTGGCAGTGACCTGCTACCTTTCGTTAGGATTCCCTTCATTGACAGTGACCAGCTTCAATGATCAACTTTGATGCAAAGAATTCCACAAAAGAATATGCATTTAATTTATGCCACAGATTGTCGGAACAAAATTTTTAATTTAAATTAAGCTTAAATTAATTAATTAATTAAATCAAGGTAGGGTAGAAATATTGTCTATATAAATAAAAAATCTTATAAACTTAGAAACTTATAAAAATCTTAATTGTAACATTCAGTTCCACTCCTAATTTTCACCTTCTGATAATTCAATTCCATGATAAGTAATCATTATAATGATCCTCAATAAAACATCCCGGAGTTTCTGATACAATGCAAACGGCAGGATTATAATATTCGGATTCTTCGATATTGGTTTGGGAATCGTCTGAATTGTCATGATCAACAACATCGGTGAAAATTGATGCGCAAAAATTACCGGTGAAAGATGTACTCGTTGGTAAATAAACACGGTCAGTATTGTTATTAAAATTGAAGTGATTTTCGTAAAACGAGAAATCCGTACTTCTCGGACTAATTGGACTATTGTTGATTGTATTGTCAGATTCGTAGGTATCTGATGACGTAGATCCAGGAGATGCGACTGGGGTCATATTTATTATGTATGGAAAATATTCTGGATAATTTGGTGGTTGCCAGGTTATTAAATCGGGAATTGGATTATCGCTTTTTTGTTGTTGTTGCTGTTGTTGCCGTTGTTGTTGTTGTGGTTGTGGTTGTGGTTGTGGTTGTTGTATTTGTTGTGGTTGTTGTGGTTGTTGCATCTCTTGAATCTCTTCAACTTGCTCTTGTTTGATGCACTTTTGTTCTTGAGGGTCTTCTTCTATTGACTTTTGACCATAATTCTCGCAAACAATTCGATAACCTTTAATCGCTTTTCTTTTTTCTTGAAATTCTTTATCGATTTTTTGAGCCATTACTTTGTAAGTCTCCTTTACTTCTTTACTTTCATTCTTCCATGAGGAGCTGGCCCACTTGGAAACTTGAGTCATTTTAAACTTGTGCTGTTCAATTAACAGTTGTTTAACAAAGGCTGCCCTATAAACGAAAAATGAATTTGGGCTCTTGATGTCAATCTTTGTTTTAGGTCTGTTTCGCACGAAATCTTCCGCGGTAACGGCAGGTGGCCAAGGGAGTTTAATTTCAGGTGGGGCCTGAATGATATCATTAACCAAAGGATCAACTTTACGGGATTCAATGGTCTTTGAACGTTTTTTAATCTGTCGTGGCATGATTGATATTACTACCTTTTAAGAAAATTAAAAAAATTATTTTTAATATGAAAGAGGTAAAGAAAAAAAAAAAAAAAAAAAAAAAAAAAAAACTTCAAAAATTCATGATTATTTTATACCTTTTTTCATCAGAAATGAAAGGTACTGTGGCTAGTGAAATTGGAAATCAATGGGTGATTCGCTTTAAGTTATTTCCAAATTCAATTCTAGTTGGAAGGTAACCCAAACCGTTATAACCGAGCAATTTATATTGAATTATACTTTAGGCTGTATCACAACCTTTTGATGATCTTCCTGCTGCCTTCATTCTTTACCATAAAAAAAAAAAAAAAGGTATGTTTATGTTGTATTTTAATTGAAGACAAAGCCATTGCCACGTTATGAGCGGCATTTTATGAGCACTTTTTTTTTTTTTTTTTTTTTTTTTTTTTTTTTTAATAAAAACAAACGGTATAAATCCATTCAATTATTTTTTTTATTTTATTTTTTGGTGGCTGAAAAAAGTGATGCACATAATTAAATTCACCAATCACGACTGAATTGTGATTATTGAGAAGAAATTTATAATAAGCACTTTTGATGTTCCGTCTACTCCGACCTTTATTTTAGATAAACAAGCGATAATGCAAAATTATATCAAAGTATTGTGAAAGTTATGCAAACAGTCGATATTCTATTACTTGATTCCTTTAAAATCTTCGTAAAAAATGTGCGAAATTCTTTTGATATTGTAAAATACTGAATTTGGTTATCTTTGAAACCATAATATTCTTTGATAGGTTTAATCAAAATAAGAATCAAAAAAAAAAATCTTCAGACGCCTAAAATCGGTAAGATAATTCCTTGGTAAAAATAACTTTGCTATTTAAGAGTTTGTCTGTAATATTAGGAAATTAAATGCTACACATCAAAAAAAATAAAAATAAAATAAAAAAATCCACTTTTCACGAATGGATATATTAAAAAAAAATAGGCCTAGGCTTGCAATCTTGTGCAGCTTAAACTTCAAATGGTAATTTATTTGTTACGCGTACCCATGATTCCCTTATCAGAACGTACCCATTATATATATAATATAATATGGGTTTATATTATGAATGACTTTGTATAAATAAACATGTATATAATCGCGTAATTAAAATAGAAATTTTTTTTTTTAAAAAAAAAAAAAAAAAAAATTCGAATAAAAAGGACTAGATTTGTAATTGATTGTTACAATAGCATCATTTTGCTTTGTTTGTGATTCGCGTACAAAGAATTATGTTGTGTACGTTTTAACTCTGGTTCCTTCGCGGCAAATTATAAACCCTTACTTCAATTATGGTTATTTTTTAATTTATTTTTTTTTTTTAAACATAAACTCACCAAAAAGATTGATAAAATTGCGTATTCAATCGTACAAAAGCCTTATCGCCATATTTTCCCTTGGGCAAAAGATAATTGGATATAGATAAGAGATTTGATTAAGACATTCCAGTTGAAGTACTAAACTAATCCAAATCGACTAAGCGACGCCATTGTATTATTAGTTTTATTATAGGATTTTTGAACATTACGTTGATCTCTTTAAGGACTTTCGAAATGTTTCGCCCTATTTCATGCAGGTTGAAATCATGCCCTTCCGAAACCCATATGATGTAAAGTACCGAAACATGAATTTTTTCAATCAACTCACTCTAAAACCCTGAACCCATTCCCAATGGGTAAATCTTTTCTTCAAGTTATGCACGAAATAAAAAAAAAAAATAAGCTCAGCCCAACAATTGATTTTTTTTTTAGCATATTATTATTATTGTTATATTATTATATTTATTTATTTATTTTATTTTTATACGATCAAGGAGTTCTAAGGAATGCATGCCCATATCAAGTTAAATTCGAGTATGTGGTATATTTTGATATGCAATGAATTTTAAAGCGGTTGTGAATTGTTACAGCTATATGTAACACTGGAAATTTTGAATAAATTGCCTGTTAAAGAGACCATTTGAAAATTTTCCGATTAAAATAAAAGAACAATAATAACAGGGTCTCATCTCTTGTACATATAGATGTTCGTAATTTGAACGATTTGTCATTGTGTTAACGTTACAAAGCACCAAAAGCCAATTTTAACGCCTCAATAAACGACGCATCGTGACGATTCCTTAAAAATACAAATTAAAACATGAATTTGTTTATGTTGATCGAACCGATACGGACGGGGGGGGGGGAATTTACTAATTACAAATTCTGTTTGCTTCATATTCAACAAACCTGTAATCTTTTTTTCGCACGCTAGTTCATCATTTTGTCAATGATAACTGAATTTGATTCGCGGAATATCAAGAAAAACCCTCATCTCGCGTTTACTTCATCCCGATCTAACCCGCATGAAATGTATCAAGGTGCCAAGAGAAATATTGACGCGTGACCACACTAGCATTCTAAAATTTATACGTATAAAAGACAGTTTTGCTCATGTTAGTTTTTTTTTTTTATAATAAATTTATTAATAATAAAAAAAAAAAAAAGAAAAAAAAAGAAAAAAAAAGAAAAAAAAAAAAAGGAAAAAGTTTTTTTGTGTAAATTTGCCTAAACGCATATTATTTGTCGGTAAATGAAATCACGTGAAATTTATTTGATATTTTGCGAATAATTTGTATCTAACTATCAACTTATTAATCACTATTGATCCCATTTGTGACTAGTGTCATAATTAGTAAGCATGTAAAAAATTCCACATTTTCTAGACAAGGAATAAAGAAAAATAATGATAAGAATTATCATCTCAAAGGATTTCATTACGTCCTAAAAGAGGCATTTAAAACAAGACGGAAGGGTTTCTGCAACTTGCATGCGTTAACTTTTAATGTAATATTGTAAAGAACACTTCACTTTTTATTCTATATATATATATATATATTTTTTATTTTATTTGTTATTATTTTACTTTTTTAAACAAATTACTTAGTAAATTTAAGAGTAATAAGATATATTAATAAAAAAAAATTTTTAACAATAGTTCAAAAATAATAAATCAACAATAGTTTTAATTTATTCCACCGGTTATCCAAATTTATCTTCAGCCACAATCTTTTTAAACATCACATTTTTTGGATCGCCTTTCTTTTTCAACTTACTTGGAAATTGAATTGAATTTTACTAATACAACCCATTGATGAGGAAAATGAATTCCGAAAACGTTTGTAACAAAAAAAAAGAAAAAATGCAAGATGCAATATGGCATGTTCAGTAATTTACGCACATGTATCATGTACAGTGTTTATTTGTTGCAAGCTTAAATTCAACACACTTTTGGGATTGTGGGATTTTTTCTCCAAGTTGGCATCATATATAAACATTTTTCGTAAACGGTTGTTTTTTTACTCTTGTCGGTCGTTTTAGGAAAACCACAATCAATTTGTTTATGCATGGATTAAATAAATGAGTCAAACGTTCTTTTTTTTTGTTGTTTATATTTCGGTTTGTTTGTCCAAAAAAAATAATAATGCAAATCTTCTTTTATTTGTATTTTATTTTATTTTATTTTTTTTTTTTTTGTGTTTCGGGTTAAGAGAAAAAGAGATAACAATGGCTAGAATTTTTTTTCGACGAATTGCAAATGATGTCAAAGCACAACCTGCTGAATAATACAAACCGCATTTTTCCTTTTTTTTTTCCTCATTAGGTTTTTCATTCTCATGCTCATTGAATCTCAAGTTTTATGGCAAGACGATATTTTAATTAGAGTCACATGACCGTCGTGACTCTCGTCAAAAAAAAAAAAAAAAAGAAATTTACCAATGATGTATCGTAGAGAAAAACCCTGATAAAAAAACTTTTTCTTTTAAGGCTTAAATATTCATGTCATTAATAAAATTTTATTCGGTTTTGACATTTATCGTTTTATCAAATTCCGTTACTAGAAACGTTTAACTCGAACCAATATAATCTCAACGTGATAATTTTAATTGAACATAATAAATCATAAATTTTTTATTTAATTTAATAGCATAAATAATAGCATAATACATATTAGAATCATAATATTTCAAATATTTCATAATATTTCATAGATTTCCTTAATGAATTTGTCTTACATATAACTTATGTCATAATACAGTATATCAAATCATACAAAACGAATATTCGAATTAATAATGTATCGGAACCATAAACGAACGATAAAATAACTAACTGGATATAATTAGGGAATAACGTCTCGCAAATACCAATCCAGAGCGCTTTCTCCGTAGAGCTCTTGATCCCTACCCGGCAAATAATGATTATCACTTGAATTGGATGACTCACTAATATTACAATTATTTGGTGCAGGATCCCAAGTGACGTTTGCATCAGTGAAGGAATGCTTTGAAGAATCCACAACATCCCCCGGGGTCATTATGGATATATACATGAGGGAATGTTGTGGATTTCTTCTAATTCGATCTAATTCCTGTTTAACTTCCCGAGCCAATTTTTTGTACACTTCTTTAACATCTTCTGGCTCGTTTTGCCAGTACGTTGAAGCAAACTTCGAGACTTCGGTCATCGGCAAATGATAGTTCAATTGCAGAAGATGTCTAGTGAACGCCTTACGATAAACAAAAAATGCGTTGGGGCTACGCGCATTGGATCTAATTGTTGGGACAGTCAAATTTTCCTGTGCATTTATTATGGGGGGGAATGGGGGTGGTGGAATATTAAGTGTCAATTGGGTGTCGTCGTTACGTGTAGTCATCATGTAAATATTTCAAGTGAGTTTGGTAAAGGAGAGTTTCGTTTATTTGAAGGGAGCAAAATCCGGAGGAAGGTCGAATTTTGAATGATGGATCAAAAGGACATATTTCAAAGTGGAAGGAAAAACTCGTTCTTTTTATATGATTTCTAGCTTAATCACGCTTGCATTTTCGGAACATTTTTATGCATACAAGCATGTAAGCATGATTAAACAAAGGTGTTAATATTGATATTATAAATGATCAATTACATGAACTTAGAATTTGAAGCCGAAACAATACGCACATGCTGATAAAACTGCAAGTGTATATAATTGCTTAATTTAGCTTAAATTACAAAATCACTATTGGATCGGAGCCCCCATACCCGTACCAAAGCTGACATTCTTTGGATTTTTATATATCGTTGTATGACATTATTAAGGAGGACAATTAAGACATAAAGACACGATATAATATAAAAGTATGGATACAATCTTGATTAAGCATGATTATTTAAAGCAATATAAATTTTCGGGTAAACAAAATAAAAAATAAAAATAAAAGGAGATTAGTATGAATGCATAATTCTCGTATTGAAATGATTTAAAAAGTTATTTAAAAATCTATGTAAAGAAGATTTATATATAGTATAACAGTAATTTGTAATTTGTAATTTAAAAGTCGGACAATGCAAATTTGGTTATATATTTTTTTCTTTCTTTCACGTTACATAAGTCTTGAACAAAAAAAGAAAGAAAAGGCGTCTGATAAGAATCACGCAACTTTGATTATTTATATTTGATGCTTTTTTACAATACTTCAATACATTTTTTATAGTGATTATTTATGCTGCTTATCTTGATTCTACTATATATTCTTCTCCTGTAACAAAACCTGCAACGATTTAGTTATATTTGTTACGATTAGGTAAAAAAAAAAAAGAGAGAAAGGACCAAAGAAATTTATGGCGTAAAATAGTTTAAAGTTTGCCGTACAAATCTAGTAAAATTCTTTTGAAGCATAATTATTAATGACAATATGTTTCTTAGAAGGAATATGCATTGACATGTCTCGCGGTTCATCCGTTATACAAGGGCAGGGCAATTGTTTAAGGGACTTTGGAAGTCTGGCTTCTTACTAATCATGTTTCGGGGTGACAAAAATTTTTATATTCTTCAATTAAAAATGATTGAAAAAATGAGGAAAAAATTCTCACACAAACTCGGTGCATCTCAAATTTTGTAAAGTTTCACATACACAAAGAATTTATTAGAAAGATTTAAATTTAAATTTTGACGCGTCCAAAAGATCTGCGTAACTATTCCATAAATGTGTCGGTGTATATATTTACTTACCATATTGGGTTGAAATAAATCATTCATTTCATTTTTTTAGGAATGTTCAACAAAAACCTTCGTGTATTGAAAGGATATATCAAAATATGTTAATAATGAGAATAAAAAGCCAAATCTCGCACGAGGTTACACTTATGTTCAAGGTTGTGCTATTTCTTATTCGGTCTCTCTTTGGATATTATCAATGGAAATCCTGGTATATTATTAGGTTTAACATTTTGGGGATTCTGTCGATTGGATATTTAATGAAAATATTTCTTTTATTGATCAAGCATTTTTATACATTTTCTATATTTGTGAACCTTATTAACTTTTGATTGAAATATTTCATTGGTTGGATAACTATTCAACCTTCTTTTGGTATTAAGATTTCGAAATTTTATAATTCCATAATAGGAATGAATTACAACAGACAATGGATTTTTGAGTAGTCATATCCGGAGAAAAGTAGCCATCTCCATTAATCGATGAAATCCGCTAGGGATTTTTTTCTTTTGGCACCACTCACATTCAATCATCATAAATCAATTTAGCACACATGCAGAATAAATACACTTTGTTTCCGATTGATCAATCAATATTTTCCTTTTTCTCAAAAGGGAGGGAAAATAAAAATTATGATCAAAATTATTGAAACAAAGATCTCTCCGTTAAAAATTATATTGATTTGAACTTTTTTTAAATTTTATTAAACTACATTTTTGGGAATAGTTTTGTTTAAAAAAAAAAATAGATTCTATGACATGTGAGAGATTAGATCGTGTCATATTATCCGCAGTATTTTTTTTTTGTGAAGAGTTTTGAATAGATTATTGCTACGTTATTCATTACATTGATGGCATCTTTGGATATCATGGTACATTGAAAGAGAACCAGTCGATTAATTACAAATAATTTATCTAAATTAAAATAACTAATTTTTTTTTATTAAAAAAAAAAAAAAAATAACAAAAAAAAAAAATGAATAATATAAATTATACGCTTTGAAAATTTGAAAATTGCCAACATTTTTGGTGATTCACAATCCTCAAAAATCACATTTCCGCCACAGTACGAATGCATGATTTTTAGAAGCGGGAATTTATGTTTTGGAATATTCGAAAATGATCATCATTATTTGTGTTATGTATGTATGTATGATATGATACGTATGTCATGCACTGCACCCGACAGCCTCAATAAAATAAATAAAATAACATTCCACAAAATCTTTTAAACTATAATAAGAAACCGGAAAATTATGGTCTCCTCGAGTTTCAGGATTTCCCATTAATTTTGTTTGTTTTCCGCAGTAAAAATCAACCCAATTTGGCAAAAACTTTAGATTGAACTAATTATCTTGAAATTTTACAGATAAAAACCCGCTTTGTTCTCTTAAACTTTATTAGTGTATTTTTGTTTCCTTATGAGGTAACACCATAAATTATTTATATGACGCTAAATTTTATGTTCCGAAAAGAATAATTTCTTTCCCCTCCACTCACATCTTGTCATTGAAAATTCATAATTCTTTCATTAAATAGGCAAAGTACGAATGTACCATAATTGAAGGAATGAATTCGGAAAAGCTTTTGGACATCTTCCGTCCGTGTATCTATCCCCCTTCTAACATCGTCTCCCTCTCCACCCTACCCCGTGTTATACTTCCATTTCCGCCAAACATTAATGCCTATGAGATAGCACACAAAAGACGTCGATCGAAAATTTGTTCGAAAACGCCAAATGCATTTTTCATTTATAGGAAAGCATTTGTCGACCACTTGTCACTTTTAGACCATAGGCTTAAGATGACAGAAGTTTCAAGACTTGTTAGCGACCATTGGAAGAATGAAAGTCAGGAAGTCAAAGCGGCCTACGAGAAAATCTCCAAACAGGTTGAAATAGAGTTGAATGATATGAGAAACCGGGATTTGGTTTATGTTGAACAACCAAAGGTTGTGAAGAGAAGACGACGAAGAAACCTTGATTCTAGAAAAAGTTCATTTTCAAACGATGAAGCTGTTTCGGTTGAACATCCTAGAAACGTCATTGGTGAAACCCATTATAAAGATGATATTAACTGTGAAGAGTATTTGAATTTGAATTTGATCTCGCTTTGCTCTAATCAGCGAATGATGTTAAATGAAGAATTGACGTTACCCTTGGACACTCATCCGAAGCAAAGTTCGCAATCATTCAGCAACGATCCTCATATTTCCTACATTACAAATCAATTTCAACAAGACGTTTATAAATCTTCATCCGAATTCAATAATGAAAGCAGTAATAAAGAGACCAATGAAGGTTTTCGGTTCGAAGAAGATAAATTAGAATGGTATTTGGGTTACTATGAAGATTTCAACCATTAACCGGAATTTTTTTGTTTATTTTATCCGGAATTCATGTGAAATAATTTTTACGATCCCACTATCAATTAACCTGTATAGAACTTGTTTTATAATATCTATGTCTATGTTATATATATTATATATGTATGTATAAGGATTTTATATGTTATGCAAATATTTACTTTTTTTTCACATGTTAATTAATTATATATGTATTAGGTATGATAATTTACTTGAGTAAATAAATATGTATGATTTATTTTTTTTCTTCACTTGAAAACTTTCCTGAAAGGTATAACGATAAGGTATTAATATTTTAACGGTTACACGTAAATTTTCGAATTTCCCAAGAATAAATTTTTCATCGCTAATTTTATGTAAATTTTACTTTAATAAACATGAAAACATTTTCGATTATAAACTTGGGATAACTCCCGTTAATTTTTTTGTGGGATTTATGGAAAAAATTCTTTACATACATAAAACGTGACTGCCTTGTAGAATGGAGCTTATTCTGTAAATACAAATAAATAAGATTTCTTGAAGTAACATAGAAACAGGTATCTAGTTTTACGGGGAATTTCGGAAAATTTATAAACGGTTTTCTAAGTACTTTTTATTTTAATTTTTTTTTTTTTGACAATCTTTTGTACTTTGGATTATTTTCGGTTTTCCGAACGCATACTGTAGATCACTATCAAGCCATTTTTGGAAAAGACAATAAATGTAATAAATGTCCAGATCAAATTTGGGTCATAAAAAATGGTTTCATTGATAAAGTAAACCAACACATTAACTTAAAATTTATAGTGATTTTATTTATTTAAATCGTTGGGAGGGGGGAAAAAAGAGTGAAAAAAAAAAGATCGGCACCTTCAACTATTTTAAGATTCGCTAACCAAAATTGCTAAAAGGATTTATTCTTATCTAATTTATTTAATCTTTCTTATGAATCTTATTTTATTAAGAGTGTATCTTTATTTGTTGATTTGAGAGTTATCCATGTTCATTTTACCATAATCGTAAGAT